TGCATTTAAAATCAGCAACAAGAAGTTGTACACAGATAATTTAATCACAATTGTGCTCGATTGTTGTGGTTTAGGATTAATAACATCAATATGAATAATGAGAAGAAATTAACTTTTATTCAATAATGTATTAAAAAAATTATTTACAATATTGATGCTTTTAACTAATAAATTTATTCAATAATGCATTAAAAAAATTATTTACAATGTTGATGCTTTTAACTAAAAATTATTTACAATGTTGATGCTTTTAACTAATAAATTACTTAACATACTTTTCCATAAATTTGCGATGAAATTCACTTCGTAGAGAATCGTTAATGAAAACATCATGTTTCTTTTTCGGTTCGGAACGTGCACAATTTTTAAAGACGACATCATCGTCCCATCTTCTTCGTACTTTCATATCTACCCTTCCACTCTGCGAAGAATAATTCAACAAAGGATTTCCTGAAAGGATATTTTCCATGCGTATTCTCTCTTCTTCCTGGCGTTTCTCCATTTCCTGCAAAATGTAAGATAATATTTAGATACGAAAAATATATGAGGAGAACAAAAAGACAGTAAGTCAAACTTGAAAGTATTCTAATCTAAAAGAATCTTTTTAAAAAAAGAAAAAATATACGCCAAGTGCAAAAAAAGGTATCGAATATTACATTCTTCTTAATAAAAAACGGATACAAAATAAACGCAATTGACCTAGTATTTAATTACACAAAGCATCAAGGTTGGAAAGTAATGCGTTACTTATAACAACGTTACATTTCCGTTACTTTTTTTGGATAACGATTTGATAACGCTGTTGCTTTTTTTTATTAGTAACGAAAAAGTAACGACGTTACATTTTCTTTAGTAACGAATAACGAAATTGACTCCGTTACTCTTGTATCGTTACTTTTTTATAGGTCACGGCCGTCACAGACGGCAGGTCCATGTTGGACCTACTAACTATATCCTATACCAATAATACTAATTATAAGTGCGCTTATTGGACTACAGACGACTAGATCAAATGGCGGTCGAAATAGCCAATAGGAAGGTTGTCGACATTTCGGCTCAGATCAAAGGAATGCGCTACTTTGATATATAGAGCTTTAGCTTGATCACTATAACGTGGCATACTAACCTTCTTAGCTTGTTCTGCTGCTCGTTCTTTCTTAATCCTCTGAAGTTCGGCCAAAAGCGCAGCAGTATCTTCTTCATCACTATCAGAATCTGATTCTTCGTCATCAAGCGGATCATCTGCATCTAGGCTGGCGGCAGGAACTTGATCTAACTTTTGTCTCTTTGTACTGGATGCGGTTGATTCCCTGGAAGGTTCAATAGCACGACGGCTTGATCCTTTATCCTTGTCTATCCGCTCTCTTTCCTCCAATTCCTTTCTGAAGTCCCGATTTCGCAATTCCTCAACTGTTCCTTGACCATGTTCTCTGTAGAGAAATAACAAAATTAGTATTAAGAAAATTTCATCATGTATAATTTTTTTTCTACAATTCTTATATTTCTTAATGTATCTGATGCAGTATTTTATTATATCTCTTGTTAGATTATCATACACATACAACAAAATTTACTATTAAAAGTAACTAATTCTTGCAAAATTTATGTGATTATCAAATAGTCTTATAGCCTGATATAACTAAAGGATACAAACATTATCAACTATTTCGATCAATGATATAAATACCTTAACAATTGGCCTATAATACAATTAGGTTATAATCAATTAGCCTATAAATTCTCTCTATCACTCTCTCCGCTTTAAAAAGAGAAAGTGAGTTTTAAGTCTCGTTTAAAGTCAAATAATGTTGGTGCAATCAGGCCTTAAAGACAAAGTAACGTTGGTGCAACCGAGCCTGAAGACATCAGGTGTGTTCAGCAGAAGGCAACAGTTTTGCAACCGTTTTATGATTGGCTGCGTTCAGCAGACTCAACAGTTTTGCAACCGTTTTATGATTGTCTGCTGAGATAGGACCATTCTTCTAGATCTAAAAGTATGATCCAATTAGCGCGAAGGAAACTTACAACAGTTGCAAAACAACCGTTCTGCTGAACGCAGCCATTGGTAAATCGAATGCGCATTCTCATTACACCTCATTCTCTATACCATACTTGTTTTCAGGTTTCCACTCTACATATTTCTTTGATCCAAAAATTTTTCAATATACGATTGGTTCTTGCTTTTGGCTCCTTACAGATCTAAACGTATAAACCAATCATATTGAAGAATTTTACACAGTTGCAAAACAAACGTTCTGCTGAACGCAGCCACTGAGTCACAAACGTGTTGAGCAAAATGGCTGCAACGATTCGTGACATCTTAAGACTATACTTAAGACGGTCTTGAATATAAGAATCGACTATGAATACCGGCCTTTGTCAATGAATAAATCGAGAGCAAGAATACCGATTCTAGAGGTATGCTCGCGTCGTAAGCTCCATGCTCCTACCATAGCTTCTTCTCACTCTACCAAGCGCGTTGGAGTGAGCAGGAGCTATGGTAGGAGCATATTGGAGCATGTTGGAGCATGCGACGCCAACGAACCTTAGGTGTTTTATAATGTGCAAAAATTAACGCATAATCGTCACGAATCAAGAGAAATCGATGGCGATTTCCAAGATCGATCGAATTTGATTCGCTGCTTACCTGTACTTAAGTTTCGTGTGTGATGGCAAATCTCTACTACTGTATTGCTTTGATATCGCACTTAGGTCTTTCTCGCCTCGTCCTTGTCCTCCTCGGGCGGGTTCGAAGGTCGGTCTTGCCGCCGTTGTCATGTTTTTGTATAAAAATCACTTCAACGAATCTCAAAATAATCGCAAATAATCGGAACGATCGGAGTTCGGAGTACGGACTATTGGACGCGAATTGTGCGTTGATCCCAGAGTCACAGAGTATATGTAATGAGAAGTGCAAGCTCTGTGTTAAACGAAGGAAGCAAAATCCGATCGCCGCACCCCTAGTGGTTAGGCCTGATACTAGATAGCATGTAAGAGTGTTTCAAAATACGCGCCCGCGAAATACAAGACGTAATACTTTTATGATAAAAGAAACAACTTTTTCCGTTTGCAAAATTGCGTCTGATAAGTAGTTTTTGCAGGAGAGCAGGTTGAGTTAATGAGTAAACGCTCTAATCTATGTGGCGAGCTCCTCGTTCACTAGTGTCTAATTATAGAGGCCCATCACCACCCCGCGCCGAACAATTTCATCGGCTGTCTTCTTTTCTTTATAAACTTATCCTCGCAAAAAAAATGGACTACTATAAATTACAGCGGCCTTTTTTCGCGGATATTTATATATTTGTTTTTCTACATTTATATTTTTATTTCTAATTATTTGACTATGTTCAAGCAAGTTCAGTTAAGTACTCGAAGGTATCATTAAGTAACACTCAAAGGTAGACTTAGCACTTAACATTTATTCACGTTAAACACAGAAAATAAAGGGCTTTGACAAATAATGATAATTGCAATTACAAAAGATATTACAACTTGTCCGATTATATCCGCGAAACTGTCTTTTCATAATCTCCTTTTAATTCCGCAAGCAACGGTCGATTCTAGAATGTTCGCGAACAACGGACTCCGCAAGCAACAGGTAACAATTTTATTTCGCAACGAACGAGAGAACAATGCCCGTTGTTCTCGTGAGCGGTGTATAGGTCGTAAAAGTCGAGAGTATTTTCGAATATAATGTCGAATATTCTAAACCGGAAATACATATACATGTTTTGAATTAACAGCTCTTTTACAAATTGAATTATAGCTTTGTTGTAATTTGCAGGCACAACGTAATCTAGACTCGAACATTCAATTGGTTGCGTCGCTTTTTGCCGCTCCGAGGGATTCGCTGATTTTGTAAATATTAACATTGATAGTTGCCGAGATCCGCATGTATTGGTGCGCGCTATCTCTTTGTGACGTGTCTGCGGCGAGATATTACAGCTCTTGCGGAGACAATAATAACCTTAATGATCGCACTACCGACCGCGGTCATGCTTCAAACAGACTACTTTATTTCGCTAATCATTTCGCATTAAAATACAAATTTTAATACCGTCTTTGATAGTATTAAAAAACTACTGTTTTTAAATAAAAAAAATATATTTGCGCAATTTGCAAGCCGTTGAATAAAGTTGGAATTTTTCTAACTGTAAGCAAATTACAAATTAATTTAAAGTTGTAAAGAAAATTTAAATGAATAAAAACGAATCAACCTATCGATGCCTTCCACCACCCCCGCCGATTTTATTGGCGGGCCTTTTTGTTTTACAATTACTTTTTTTCTCTTTTTCAAATTCAAAAAAATTCGAAAATCCTTTTCCAGGATTAAAGTATACACATTAATACGTGTCTGTGAGGTGGAATTTATTCCGAGAACGACAAAAAATTTCGAAATTGAAGTTAATTTAAGTTATTATAAGAATTTATAAGCTTCTTTAGCTTCTTTAGCTGTTTTGGCTAAGTTTTCCCTAGATGTATAATATAAATAAAAAATATTATTTTTATGTATATATAATAATCATAGTTTTTTTATTTAAAAAATTATCGCACAAATGTAAAATTATAAAAATAAATAAAATAATACGTGAAATAATACCATTACGGTCTTAAGCTTCAAGGTTTGCCATTAAAGTGGGGTCAATTTTATTACAGCGTTCAGAACTCCGCACGCTAATACGAGGATATAAATGTAACTACAATAGTTCTTATATAATAGTTCTTATTTTGCAAAAAGGTAAGAGGACAACAAGCAGTGATATTTATGATTTACTAAGTTTACGTAACAAAATAGAGAACCACCAATAGGTATTATCTTAATAGCTGCATGTCAAACATATCTTTTCTCTGTATCAACAACATGATGATTTAGCACATTATACATATCTTTATATGTATGATTAATTAGAAAATATGCAGAATGTGCCAAATCATGTTGTAATTCATTACATAAGTGTTGTTAAGAATTAAATGTTTCTCAGTACACAGTAAGACGTTGGTAGATTCATATTCAGTTTTCGCAGTGAGGTGCTTCGATCGTACGAACATAATAAAATAGAAATAATATTATCTCTGAATCAATCGATTTTCTCACAAATGTTAAATTTCCAAGAATGTTATGAATAAGAAATTGCGAATAATTACAAATTATATTATCTGGTGCAATTGCAAATTATAGAAGCATAAAAAAATTTAAATTTAATTTTTTTATGAAACTTAAGATTGACGTTTTATAAAAGAGTTGTTTGTTATCATATTTCAGATTTACGATGGTACTTGTGGAATTAATTGGGGTCTTCATTTTTGCCTTGAGCAGCTTGTATATTTATTATAAATTTGTGATATTTAATTTCTGGCACAAGAGGGGTGTTTTTTATGTTAAACCCTCTGTACCCGTCGGAAATTTAACAGCTCTCGTAACTGGAAAGGTGCAAATAGGCCAGTATCTTTATCTAATATTAACATATATAAAAATAAGAGGAATTTTTCCAATTGTATAAATAATTATTTACACAATTGGGAAAGTTTCATTTATTTTTACAAGTTATTCATAAATTATTTTATTCTTAGCAAACGAAAATAAAATGAAATGGGTTGAAACGGAATTAAATTTTCAAAAGTACGCATTCGCGAACGTTAAAATAAATTCTTTTCAGTCCTAATGTATTTTTATTCGTTTATAGGAATTGCATGAAGCACATTTCTATATCTTTCAATCTAAAAAAAAGTACAGTTCTTTAAATGTATTGGGAATACTGCTCAAATCAAAAGAATTTGAATAGAGAAAATGAAGTTTTTCAATTCTCGTTTGTTAAGTTTTTCTTTTTAAGTTTTTATATTATTTAAATTATACTTTATATTGTATATTATTTACTAAGGCCCGGTTGCATCAATGTTACTTTGATTTTAAGCAAGGTTTAAAACTCTCTCTGTCTCTGTCTCTCTTTCGCTTTAAAACATGAAACAGAGAGAGTTTTAAGTCCTGCTTAAAGTTAAAGTAACATTAGTGTAACCGGGCCTAAGTTTATAGAAATTGAGTACGATGCGTTCGGATATTTTATTTTTTATATTTTATTATTATATTTTATATTAAGTGAACTATGAGTAGTAATGATAATACTAATAATAATTGATGATAACTACAAATCTTTTCATAGTTGCTATGAAACTTTTGATAATTATTATACTATCTTACACTTAATAATAACTATAAAACGCTCGGGAAAAAATGTTTTATATAAAATTATGTAAAATTATATATAATTTTATATAATGTTATATAATTAATAATAAAAAAAGGAAGAAAAAGGCCAATAGAGATACAACGCGGTTAAGGGGATTTTATAAAATCGAAAGAACGTTAAAAAATTGTTTAACTCTTTTTCGATTTTAGTACAAAGTCCACTGCACCACCTCCCAATTTTGCGTCTACTTTAATCCTATAAAAGGATTTTTTATTCCGTTCAGTCAATTCGAAAATTTTTATACAACTGTAATGTGATAATTTGGTCACTCCAGCATCCCCTTAATGGTGCGTAAAATTTTATTGTTTATTCCTAAAGTGCAGTTTCGACCAACAATTTCGATCCTTTTCAATGCAAGTTACATAAATAAAAATCTATATTTCTAATAAATAATATATTATCGAAATCTCTCTAAATATTCTAAAGATAAGATAGTAGTCACATATTATTAGCGCATAATAGCTTGTGAAACGGCTATTCAAATATTTTTTTTAAAGAAAAGGACCGAAATCGTTGGACGAAACATCTGCACTTTAGTTCGGAATAAACAATAAAACTTTACTCACTGTTAACCGCGTTGGCTCTCTATTGATTTTTTTCGTCCTTTTTTATTAGATTTATATTCAGATTCGTATTTATATTTTTATTTATATATTATGTAATTATTTATAAAATATTTTTTCCCGGATAACTATAATATAATCTTACTTTTATTTACACTTCTTTCGAAGTAGTTCTTTTAAGCAGTATACACATATTTGTCAACATTTAATTGTAAAACATTGATAACGTATCTTTGAAAGTGACTTTATTATACTTCTTTTTTTTTCAATTCCATATGTCGCGTCGTCGCGTTTGTAATGGCTGCGTTCGGTAGAGCAAGCAGCTTTGCAACTATTGTTTTCAATACGATTCTTCAATATTTGATTGATCCTTAATTGCTTTTGGTTCCTTATGGATCTAAATGTATAAACCAATTTTATTTTTGTATTAATATTATTTGTATTAATTGTATTACAAAAGAATTTGATATTTGTAAAGCTGCTTTCTCTGCTGAACGCAGTTAATGATTTCTTTAAAAAAATCATTATATTTTCGTGTCAAAATTTTCATTTTAATTAAGCGCAAGATCTTAAAACAATAAAATTACGATTATTCTGTAGATAAATAATGTCTTCTTTATTTTGAACGTTTCAACTTACTTTGGAGTTCTCCTCAGTAATATACATGAATATATACATATTGAAAAGCTCACATATCCAACAAGATTATGTTACTCACAAATTGTCAGAGACGGAGTGATGTTAAATCTGGCGATGCAAGAAGAGTAATTAGAATGGAAGAATACGAAACATTAAAAAGTCGAGTGACTCACCTTAGTAGATAGACAGCGTGTTAAGAAACTGACGCATAATTATTCCTAGAATATTATTACATTTGTATAAAGTGTAAGAACAAGAAATCAAACATAATGATCGACAGTGTCCGTATTATGTCCGTACGTTAATTAAGACATGTCGCATAAATTAAAATAATATTAAAATAAACGAGAGATTGTATAGTAAATATATTCTTGTTAAGAATACCTTAGAATATAATACATAAGAACGCGAAAATAATCGTAAATTTATTTTTATTATTAAAATTAATCGGATTCAAATTTATTTAGCATTATAGATGTAATTAATGCAGTCCCTCAGTATTAGATCGCTTATTTAGAACGCATTTCTTTGCATATGTATATGCATAACCGAGGGAGTAACCACTTAATGCAATCGTGAGACAGAATCCTCGAAATCATTATAAAATTCATATGAAATCTCTATGTATAATCCGATAATTACATATGCAATCACGAGAAATCATTGTATAATATTAAATAAAATCGTTATATATTTCGATAATATTTCAGCTAGTGATTATTCCCTCGTGCGTAACGTACGGACGTAATACAGACACTGTCGACCTTTATGTCTGATTTCTTGTTCTTACTTTTTATACAAATGTATAAAATAATTCTGCGAATAATTATATGTATTAAAACTTCTTGACACGCTCTCTACCTACTAAGGTGAGTCACTTGATTTTTTAGTGTTTCATATTTTTCCATTCTAGTTTTCTTGGATCTCCAAATTTAACATCTCTTTATCTCTGACAATTTGTAACACAATCTTTTTGGATATGTGCATGAGCATATACATACATTTCGATGTATATCTATATTGCCAAGGTGAGTTGAAACGTGAAAATAGACATTTATCTACAGAGTAACCGTAATTATTCTTTAAGATCTTGTGCCTGATTGAACGTTTGGCATATTATATAATATATTTATATAACCACCAAGCACGAAAGAGTTAAGCTGTACCGAGTATAATATAATTGCCGAGTATAATATAATGACTGTGTAGCACACATATATTTGTCATATTTTCTAAATCGCCTGATCTTTTGCCTGCTTTCACGCTTAGAAGAAGTCTAGTGGAGCGGCGATGATTCGCAAGCACACAAAAGAAGTCACTAAAAATGCGATGAAAGCCTATCACAAAAATTCTATCGATAAATGATTTTCAGGAATGACTCCAAACGCTTTATAAATGTTGGCAAATGTGTGTAGCTGTCCAAAAGAACTACTTTGAAAGAAATGTTGTGAAATAAAGATAGAATTTATAGTTATTTCGGCGTTAAAAATCAATTCCGGGAATATTTGAATCCACAAGTATAATATGCATGAAGAATTCATTAATTTATATTTTATAAAATTGTAATTGCTACAACTTACAATTATGATATTGTATTTATCGTTCTTTAAATAATTATTATACATTCTGTTTCTATTTTAATAAATTTAATAATTTATGTTATTAATTATTTCTACTTAAAATACGAAATTAGTTAAAAAGTAGTTTTGTTTTCAACAGGCGAATTATTCCAGAATGCTTACCTGAAATATAAGGATCATCGCGCTTTTGGAATGTATACGTTATTTAAACCAAATTTGGTAATCGCCGATCCCGATCTTATTCGAACGGTATTGACAAAGGAATTCGGGAGTTTCCATGACCGTGGAATGTACTTCAATGAAAAAGTTGACCCATTGTCCGGCAATTTGTTTTTTATGCCCGGAAAACAATGGCGAAATTTACGTGTCAAATTGACACCAACTTTTACTTCAGGAAAGATAAAACAAATGTTTCCGATTATGAAAGAATATAGCGAAAAATTTGCAAAGTATCTGAAGAGCGAAGCACAAATGAGGAATTCCATTGAGATAAAAGACATTTTTGCAAGGTAAATTAATTTTAAAGAAATTGTTATTTAAATAAAATTTTTCTAACGACAAAAAATAGAAACTCCTTTATTTGAATGTAAAAGTTGTTAGCCTAAAGAAAATAAAATTGGAAATATGATAAGTAGATAAACAACATATCCAAATTAAGAAAAAGTATTTTATCCTTTTGACGTATACAGAATGTAATGCTCTATTTAATCCACTTATAATATAATGCAAAAACGACTAGATTAAAAAAAACCGTTTGTGTGTGTGTGTGTGGGATAAAAGTTATATATATTACAAAAAAATCATGAAAGATTCAAAAACTTTTTCAGTTCTTTTCATTACAAAAATTGCACAAAATTTTCTTAAACTTATCTAAATAATGTTTACACAGCATATATTTTTTTCATTAAAATCGGTTCTTTCATTAAAATCCAGTTTTTTTCGAGAAACCTCACTTTTGTATTTCACTTTTCCCCTTCATAATACAATTTCAAAGCTAATATTTGGAGAAGTTTCATCAAAGGTGCGAACTAATGACACCAATTTGAGTTCGATTAGAGCGGGGACAAATTTATGGGGTTAGTTTCCATCTTCTATGCCTTTTTCAGTAAGTTATGATATTGAATTCATGACCATTAATATGCTACACCTTTGCTCATATTTTTATAGATGATTCACTATTCTTGTGTGGACCTATTCAACGTTGAAGTTTTTAATATTTGCAGATTTTAATGGACTCCACACTTTTTTCCTATAGACTTAACAAGATTTTTGCTTCTGACCGATGAATTTTTTATCTTCGTTTGAATAGTCGACGTATATTATTCAATTTTTTACTTATTTTCTATGCTACAAGTTGCTAATATTTGACATGGTCTCTTTACTTACAATTATTGGTTTAATTATTGTCCCATTCTCACTTGTTATATAGAATATTGATTTCGGATTAAAAGATTCATTTTGTTATGTGTCAGAATCAATGAAGACCAAGTAAAAGTCGAAAATATTATTCTTTGATGTCAGTAAATTCAATTATTTAATGAAAAACTTTTTTCATTAAATAAACCGCAGCTGCAGAAGTCAGAAAAAATAGAAGGGTAACTTTCTCGCAACTACTCTATTACATGCCTTTATGTTATATTAATATTGAGTTATAATTTCAGCTTCTTACTGTTAATATTAATGAAATTATTGTGAGTTGAATCGATTTGTCACTGTAATAAGTAGCGCCATCATAAATTATAATCTACATAAAATGATTACTGTAGAACGTGTAAAAGACCTAGTGGTTATTTCGTGATACATACGTGTAGAGGAATAAGTAAAGCACGTTGTATAGCAAAATACAAGTGCTTTGCTTTCGTATTCTTTGTTTAGTTTATTGTCTTGTATATCCCACCTGTTTGGGATATACGGCATTTTTAGCGGACGGGATTTATGCCCAATGCATACAAAGTGCGCAGATTGAAATCAGTGCACTAAATGCAATAAACGCATTACATGAAATATGTACCTCTTGTCATAACACTTCTAATATACGTAAGAAGATTGTAATTATTATTTATTACTTCATATACATATTATTTATTTTTATTCCTTAATAAAACTTTATAAACGCATTTTATAAGTTATTGTGTCATTTTACGTCTTATTTCTATACATTATTTTTGTAAATTTTTCATGAGCCGTACATACCCCCCCCTTCCTCTATGAGTAGCCATATATCCCATCCCTATGGGGTATATGTATAGCAAAAATGCAAGGGTTTCAAAAAGTTTATTTTTTAGTATGAAAAATTAATATTTTGGATTCCTAATATTTTTTTCATAGTAGTAAGTATAAAGTTTTTACTGGTATAGTTTATTTGCCTTAAATATGGTAAATAGTACTTGATAAATTAAATCTCCCTTAGAAGCGGTTATATACCGGGTTTACCCTACATCTAGTGTTGCTCCTTTCTATTTAAATATTTCTTTCTTAGAACTCTGTTTGAATATTTCCACTCTCTCATAACTATTATTTCTAAATCTTTGTTTGAATACTATTTGTTTTTGCAAAAACACAACTATGCGTCAAAATGTTAAAATCAATGTTTCTTTATTCATAAAAGTTTATTCTTATTTGTTTTCAACTTGGTATAAAATTGGTATTTCGTAATTTCGATAAAATTTTATAAAATTAATTAAAAACTGTTTATCAATTCTATCAATAGATATACAACGGACGTGATCATGTCAACAGCTTTTGGTATCGAATCTAATTGCATTGAGGATCCCAATAACAAATACCGAAACTATCAAAAAAAAATTTTAGAGATAAATCCAATTTGGGTTGCCTTATCTGCGTTTGTGCCGAAAATTATGGATTTCTTTTCCATCCCCTTGACGGATCGACACGTCATCAGCTTCTATACGAACTTGTTTCGAGACACTGTAGAATATAGACAAACTCATAATATCGTTAGATATGACTTCGTGAATCTGCTCATGCAACTAATGAAGAGGGATTATGTTGATCCTGATGATGACGAAAAGATAATTACCAATGTATCATGTAATATATACATAATTTATGTTTATTCTTATATTAATAAGCTTCTTCACAATGTGTTATAAAAGTATATTATTTCTCTTTGCAATTTTGTAAATTAAATAATTAATTTCTTTTTCTTAAAATGTGCTTTTGTTTAAAATTATATCATAACTAAATATATCATTTTTTTACTTGTAGCAACTGTGAATAAACTTACCATGACAGAAGCGACTGCGCAAAGTTATGTCTTCTTCGTAGCTGGCTTCGAAACCTCCGCAACAACGGCGACGTATGCTCTGTATGAATTGGCTCAACATCAAGCTATTCAAGACAAAGTTCGCAAGGAAATCGATGAAATATTGAAAAAGCATGGTGAACTGACTTACGACGCTGTGAGCGAAATGACATATCTTCATAAAGTAATATATGGCAAGTATATATGGCAACATATATTATCGCATTGTGTTAATAGTCCCAACCAGAAATGACAACGGAATTGGCAATGGAATTCGATTCAACGTCGAAATCATCAAATTGATGTCGAATCGACGTTGATTCCATTATCATTTCTGGCGGGATAGTATACTGAAAAAAAATGATGTTATTCCAACGGCATTATTTTAATTGAAAATAATCTTGTTGATTTAACAACAATATTAATGAAATAAACAAAATTTTACTAAAACAAGAGCATAAATATCTGTTTCATTGATACTGCGGGTTATCGCTATGTTTGTATTATTGTTAACGTCAACGTTTCGTGCATTAGCACTGGATAAAAACACGGCGATAACCCGCAAACCTTCTAGAATGTTCGTTTCATTAATGGTATTATTGAACTAACAACATTGTTTTCAGTTAAGATAATGCTGTTATTGATACATCTTTTTTTCTTCAGTGTACAGTAATGAGGGAATGTTTAATATTACATCAGTCTCTATATGTCTGAAATCTAGTAAAAAAATAACTCAGATCTAAAGAGTTCTTCTGTTACTCCCATTAGTTAGTATGGATTACAAAATTTTTCGTATGTTGAGTTTGAACTCGCGATTTGTCGATTACGAGTTCGTCACTCTTGAGGAAAGTGGGGAAAGTGGAGGAAATTGTGCGCAGCGGGAATTTCGAGGGGAATTCGTGATTTGGTATTTTTCCAATGGATGACATCACTGTGATGAAATTTTTACATAACAGGTCGTTCTCTTAAGATATAACTACAAAAGTACGACGTAAATACATTGCTACCCAGAGAAATACAAAAAAGTGAAATCACATCTTTAATTGTTATTTTAGCATTCAGAAAATAAGGTGGTAAGTCCGTATTTTTAATTTGTTTGTTTAAAGTTTCATACGTTATTAAAGTATGTTATTATGTGTGTCTTTTGAGCTGTATTAAGTTTGATTAAGAAATGTTGAAGTAATCGTATTTCATATCGAGTCAAGTCGCGGCGGACAATTGCGCGCAAGCATTTGAAATACGCACAATTACCCATCTTTCATATATTATATGACTAGCACTAATTGTTTCGTTTTTTCTTTGCATTATTATTTTATTTTGCCATTTTATTTTGCCAAAATCTATGTGCATTATTATTATATTAGTTTTGTATTTTTGCTTAATATATATAATATATATTTAAAATATATTTAATATATCTTTATATTGCAATATAATATATATTTTCTCATTTCTTTGTCAATCCGACGCGCGAGAAATTTTTTCGCTTTTCCGTTTTTTCCTTTTTGCTAAATACAATCTTATTAAATGAAAATCTGTTCAATATGTAATGGTAGAAGAATATTTATAGTTTCTATTTTCATACTTATATCGCTTTGAACTTGGAAAACCATTCCAGGACAATAAATTTCCCTTAGGTGCGCACAATTCACCCACTTTCCCCTAGATGGAACATCCCCGTTGCTTATTGTGTTAATTCCAATTATTTTGAAACACAATTTTCAATTTTTGCGTAATAAAATTTTTCAATACAGGAGAAAAAATTTATTATACGAAAATATCTCGTTATTTATATATTAATACTATGAATGTACGTTCATACAAATTATTCATATTTTGAAAAAGATGTATCTTCATACTTTTCTTTTACATACTGCAGAGACTATGAGAAAATATCCACCTCTTCCTATCTTGAATCGCGTTTGTACCAAAGAAGTGGACTTACCGACAACGAACATTCGTGTGCCAGAAGGAACATTAATAACTATACCGATACTTGGCTTACATCGAGATCCATCGATATATCCGAATCCAGAAAAATTTGACCCTGAACGATTCAACGTAGACAAAATAGAAGAAAGGCATTCTTACACTTATTTACCATTCGGAGAAGGCCCACGAAACTGTATCGGTGTGTATTAATCCATTAATACTGCATCTAATTTATATTGAATCATTGTTAAAACCATATTGTTATTTTTGAAGTTGTGTGTGCTTAAATAGAAAAAATGATGTTTTACTAATAATTAGACTGCTACTATATATATAAGTAGATATAGAGACATTCTGTGAACTCTAAGGACGTTCCGTTATAAATAATATATGTCTTCTCTTTACATCTTTCTTCTTCTCTCTCTCTCTCTCTCTCTTTCTCTCGCGAAAATATTTATAAAAGTATTTAATTAAGTTATTTTTTTTTTAATTCTGCATAATTTCTGCTGTTGTTATGTATTAAAAAAATCAATAAATATATCCTTAGGTTGTATTTGAGGAAAGCTTTGTAAAACCATTATTGAAATGGCTATACGAAAAATACAAAAATATTTCGCAAGTGTCATAAGTATTATTAATTTTTAGGTTCAAGATTTGGTTATATACAAACAAAGGTTGGACTCGTGAGTCTTCTGTCGAGATATATATTTAAACTTCACTCCCAGACTCCGGTCCCACTTACCTTCAGCGAAAAAGGTTTTATTCTCACAGCGAAAAGTGGTGTGCATCTTATTATTGAGCCACGAAAATAATTGCGATCTTATAAGATAGATATCAAGAATAAAAAAAGAACGAATCTATTTTATGTATCAATTTTTTGTTCTTATTGTATCGTTTTTATTCAAAGTTATAAGGTGGCTTTAATAAGTAAACAAATTTTAAATGTTATATATATCTTATTGTATCTTTTTTTATATTGTTATAAATAATTATATTTTATTATTAAATATGATAATATATATTAATATAAACTACTTAGCGCACCTGTGAAATATTCAAACAAATATGTATTGTATGTAGCCAGCATAATTATTTGGATGTTTGCCGGGATATGGGATGAATTAATCAATAAACATTTAAATAAATTTTTATTATAACTAACACTGGCTTGGATTATTTTTATAGAACTTCAATACTTTTATTGTTGAATATCAGACGACCGTTATCATGGATGGATACCATGTGATGCGAATTAAGTGAATATAGCCGTTCCTGCATCCTTCCTCTAGAGTTTTATCCTCACTGTCTTGTGTAGCAACCTTGTCGCAACAACACGTTAGCATTCTCGTAATTACAATCAAGTTGCTGCGATTGAATTTTCTGTACTGGGCATCTATCATGGAACAAGTCGGAATGGACTCCGATTGGAATTCTATTGTGTTTTCTGAGGAAAACGGAATAATTCCGATCCGATTTGTTTCATGATGGATGCCCAGTACGGACAATTCGATAAAAGGAACGGGAACGCTAGTTTAATCGAAAAACCTCGAATTCTCTTTTTTCGGCAAATACGACTTTCTGCCTATTTCGAATCTGTTTTTCGTTGGCATTTATCTAATTTTAACGGGAAAGTGGGTTTGCTCGAAAAATCTTAATTTTCCTGAAAAATCGAGATATTCTTAAAGATCAGTCCAAAACAAATTCTGACGCTTTTGATTTTAATGCGATTGCAAGTGTATTTTAATATTCGTATTAATATTACAGAATTGTAAGGTAATTATGATAATTAAAGGACTCGTATATATTTATACATCTTTCATATACATTATACTTATACTTTCAAACTTTATTTTATATATTCATTTAAAATAGATTGCCATAAATTTTACATAAATTTTCGCGGTATAATATTAAAAAAATCTCGCCAATATTAATTAAAAACACAGCGTTAGATATAACAATTAAACTTTTTTCTAGGACTTTTGCGTTCGTGCACGTCCAATTATAAAAAAAAAAACATTTAAACCATTACTTTTGAAATGTATTAAAAAATTTCTATGTATTATTGTGTATATTAGTAATATTTATTCTTAAAGCTGTTACTAATCTATAATATTTGCATCGATTTTTCGCTATTTATATAATTAATGAATTTACACATACATACTTTTTTTCCCCTCTTCCCCTCACACCGCGCGTACCCTCACGCGCGCCCCTCCTTCTCTCTCACAATTTATAAATATTTATGGGCGGCATTCATAAACCATTCTTATTCTTAAATAACATCTTGAGATGCTAATACATTCAACTGATTAATTGATGTTGGAGTGACCAAATTGTTGGGACATTGCAAGTCGATATAAATTTTTGAATTTACTGAACGAAATAAAAAATCCTTTTACAGGATTAAAATAGATGCAAAATTGGGAGGTGCTGCAATGGACTTTATACTAATTGTAAAATCGAAAAAAAAAAAAGTTAAAAAGTTAGGCTCGGTAAACAAAGCAGTAATTGTGTCTAGCAGTAGGGTTCGATCTTACAAGAGATGGCGTTATAATAAATAAGGACAGATATATGCGTTGAGTGAGACAAAACGATAATGTAAGAAATAAGCTAAAGATGTCACTATTATTACTTTTTTTATTTACAATTTAAAAAATCTGTACTATCGATATCGATCAAGTTCGGCGGTCACTCCAGCATTCCCTTAAGCCTTATCAGACCCTCTAAAATATAAACAATTTTCATTTAATTCTCTATAAGTTTCAATAATTGGCATAGAAACTCAATCTGTACGAATTTGTCTTTGTACTACTATACATATAGTGCGCAAGCGCATACATAACGTTTATATAACTGCTGGATAAAAAATATTCGACAATCTATAGTGTTAATAAGGACCTAATACTTTCCATTATTTCGATTATTTCTAAAACTGCCGACTAACATACACAGCACTTATACGCACGCAAAAAATTAAACAAGGGTAATATATATGTATAAATATCAATTTTTACAATGTCTAAATACGTATTTAAGAAATCATTTATACATATTTTGTAATCACATTAGGTAAAAAAGTTTATCCGTACATTCAGTGCTTATAGATTAAGTTTAAATTTACTATGTTAATGGTAGATAAGATAAAATGATAATTAAAGTTCGCCTGTTTGCTAGATATTACATAAACAACATTAAATTCAATAGAATGTGATAAGAAAAATTTAATTGAGACAAAACGTTAATCTTATTATGTTAATTTTTCAAGTATTATAAGCAGATAATTTTCTTATATTAGTTTCTTTTTTTCCTACGGATAAAAGAACGAGAATAAAAATCATACTAAAATTGATATATGGATATCAAATATAAATGCCTTATGAACTAACATTATCCATAGTGAAAGAACTGAGGTGTACACTGAAGTGTACTAGTACACACATATACAGGGTGTTTCCAAATTAAATCGCAAAACTTCGGGAGCGTGTAGAGGAGTAAAAAACTAAGAAAAAAAGTCCTATAGACATATGCTCGTTTTTGCTCCGTTTCAGAGAAATAAAATGCCCTGATATTGATGAAATTATTCTACTAGTTGAATTGCAACTTGTCGAATTATAACATTAACATTTCAAATTTAATCAGCTAAAAAACAGTTCTCGCATCGGCTTTTTCGAAAAATTTTGAATAATTACAAATCGGCTATAACTTATTTTTACGTAGTCCCTTACAATCCGAACTTTCTAGACATTCATGAATGTCTCGTCTAAAAGATCTGGCAGTGATGAGTCTTTTTCAGTAGGCCAGTGCAAAAGTTATAAAATTGATACAAATACTTGATCATAGATTGATAAATGACACGTTAATGAAAAGAATAAAAATATAAAGCGTCAATATTTATAGTATAAATATTTCGTAAACTTACATACATGTAAGAATCTTAGCTATATTATTCTAAAAAGTTGTAAATAAATCTGAGGTCTGTAGAATGAACATTCTAAGATTATTGACTTAGGCTGTACTGGTATGACTGTTAGCACCGCTGATAGTGCTAAAGAGAGCAGCGCTATTGCGTTTGAAGCTTCCTACTTGCTCGTCCAGCCATATTGGCTCCCCAAACAAAGATGATAAACTTTGACACAGTTTCTGATAATTTTCACGCAACACTTCTTGATATTCATGTTGGTCCGGTGTGATTAGTTTGCTATTAATTTGTAATGCTGTGTAACATATCTTGACAAATTCCCTGAAATCGCAAAAAAACCCCTTGTAGACTACAATATATCCATATGAGGAATTACAAAAGAGATAATTAATTATAAAGTGACAAGATATACCTAAAGACATCTTTCAACTCTTCTACTTTATCATCGGGATATTGCGGAGATAGCGCGGGATCCAGAAATGCGGAGGCATAGGCTAAAGGACCGGCGTTCACTGTTACGCAAATGCTACCTTGGAGACGTAACTGCAGTTTCTTTACGTCCGTCGGTCCGATCAAAGCCACATCTTCCAATTCCTGAACACGTTGCCTCATCTCATCCAAAGCGACCTCGATAGGGCTGAGCTCCACAATCCGTTTCTCAGCAATCCCGAAGCGCTTTTTCACATATGGAAAAGCATAGTGTGCTGCGATAACAAGCATAAATCTTAATGTTTCTTTCTCAATAAAGCAAGATCTCAGATATTGCATATAGACCTATAACATAGGTCTGCAAAATTTGATTTTTTTTGTGCTGTTTGGAAAAGAAAAGTAGTTTCCTACAGTTTTTGATGCGCTGAATCAAAATCCGCGAGTAAAACTGTTCTATCACGTTAGGCTTTTGAGAAAAATGAGGTTGAAACATCGGAAAGATGTGTTTTTGGCTATCTTTGAAAATGTGCAAAATATTTCGAAAAATGCTCAAATTAATATAATTAAACGTTGTACTTTGATATAAAAATATCGAATCTTTTACAGTCAGTGTCGAACCTCTGGTTTGAACCTCTAATTGCAGTGTCAAGTATAATAAAACAATTGTCCCATACAGTTTCATTGCAAATAATAATAAAAAGATGTGATAAAACATTTTTACTTACGGATTCGGATTCAGCGCATTAAAAATAATGGGAAACTATTATTCTTTTCCAAACAGCAAAAATTATGCAGACTTGTGTAATCAAATAAATTATTTGATATTTGATTGTACTTGTGAGAATAGTCCTACGTTTCCATTGTTCCTCCGGACTGCCTCTCGCTTTGCCCTCCTTAGTAAACGGTGTCTCGAACATGAAGCAGGATACGTTGTGATTCTGTTCGAACTCTGTCTGTAGTACTTCTAACTCGATCTTCTCAAAGTACGGTGTGACATGCGTTACCTGAATATACGCTACCTTAGGATCCAACTCACTTACGTCAACCGGTACAGAATCCATTATCATCTTAACGTTCTCAGATCCGAATTTTTCGCTATATAAACGCAATAAACGTTCCGATATCTCAGATAATGATGTTACTTTGGGTTCCTTATAGATATATTCTTGACAATTTTCCTCTTCGAAGTATGCCTAAATAATAATACATATGTCAATTTTGTTATCTTGAATACTTCTTAATTATAAACCGAGACACTATATCTTTGTATTAGAGTATTTCTGCGAAAACTATAAATATATATATACACATATATATATATGATATATAAAATATATACTCTGTCAATGATGTATGTATCTTACCATGCCAAAGAATGCTACTCTGTAAAATCTCCCGAGCAATCTCTTTCCAGTTCGCGTTACCTCCACAATTTTATTACAAGCTTGTGCCAAATGTGTG